TTCAATTTTTCTGTCTGTGTGGATGGTATAATCCCATAGAATGGTGACATCTTCTATTTCTGTAACCGGCGCTGGCCGATGTTCATACCAGTGTTTCTTACACATTTTCCAAAGTGTTTGCACATTGTCCAGTGATTATTATGATTATTATTATTATTATTATTATGATTATTATTATTATTATTATTATTTCACGTTTTAAATTTTTCTGCTTTTTTATATTTTTATTTATTTATTTTTTCATTTTTTTTTGAACAGCGCTTATAGTATTAAAATTTATTTTTTTGTGAAATTTTCATTTTCTTTCTTGCAAATTTTCCTTTCTTAATTTTACTTTTATTTATTTATTTATTTATTTATTTATCTTTTTTAATTATTTTTTTTTTTTTTTTTTTCTGGATAAAATCACCTAAATTTTCTTTTTTTTTTTTCTTTCAATTTCTTTTTTTTCTTTCTTTTTTTTTTTTTTTTTGATTATTTTCTTATATTTTTTTCTTTTTGGAATTTTTTATTTTTTTTTCATTTTTTTTTCTTATATTATTTTATTTAATTTTTTTCTTTTTTTTTTTCTTTCTTTTTTTTTTTTTTATTTTTGTTATATTCTTCTCTTCTTTCTTTCAGTCTTTTCTTTCTTTTTTTTATTTTTTATTTATTTGATTTATTTTTTTTTTATTTATAAATCTTCCTTTTATATTTCTTTTTCTTTTCTTTCTTTATTCTTTTCTGTCTAATATTTTTCTTTTCTTCTTTCTCTTGTTTTCTTTATTTTTTTCTTGGGGAATTGGATTTTTTTATTATTTTTTCCATTTCATTTATATTTCTTTTTTTTATTTTTTTTTTCTTTCTTTTTTTTTTATTTATTTGCTTCTTTTCTTTTCATTCTTTTGCAATTTATTTTTTTTTTATTTTTTTTTTATTTTCCTTTCTTTTTCTTTTTTTAAGGCATATTTCTTTTTTTTTTCTTTATTTTTTTCTATTTATAAATTTTATCTTGTTTTCTTTTTTTATATTTTCTTTCTTTCTTTTTTTTTTCTTTCTTCATTTTATCATTTATTTTGTCTTCTTCAAATTTTCTTTTTCTTTTCTTTCATTTTTTTTTCTTGGCATTTTTTCACTTTATATTTTCTTCCTTATTTTTTTTCTGAAATTCTTTAAAATGCATTCTTTCTTTCTTTTTTTTTTTGGAATTGCCTTTCTTTCTTTTGTTTATTTGATTTTCTTTTTTTTAAATTTAATTTTATTGATATATTATTGCCTTCCTTGATTTTATTTTTTCTTATTAAATTTTTTTTTTCTTTATTTTCTTATAACAGATCCCTTTTATTTTCTATTTCTTTTTTTCTTTCTTTATTCATTAATTTCTTTATTTATTGCATTTATAGAATCTTCCTTTCTTTTGTCTTTCTTTAAAAACTTCATATTAATTATTGACATTATATAAAATTATTATTTCTTTGCGCTATTTAACGCTTTCAATTGGACAAGAAACATTATGTTGGAATTTTTAAACAATAAAGGAGGATACAAAAATAGAATTTCTCATTTTCATCTAATTTTTTTTTTAATTTGTAAAATTATAGAGTTAAACGTTTCAAAGATTTGGCACATCAATCAGCCTGAAAATCCCATTTAGCAAGAAATTTCCAAATGTGTATGTATTTCATATTTGTGTCAATTTATTTAAATATATCAACTAAAAAAATCATTTTTACCTGTCACATTGATAAAAGTTGCCAATAAAGGTTGAATGAGTCATGGTTATTTTTATTATGGAGATATGTTACTCAGAAAGTTTAGATTAAAAAGTTATTCAAACCCTCAGATTGTAACTGTGCTGCGGTACCTTGCTCATAAAACTAACCAGGTTTGGTCAATGAATAGAGATGTCAGCGTGACAATGATCACAGTGGTTGGGCAAAAATTCAATTTTATCCTTGTTTCAAAAATAAATATTCATTTGTTTCCCCCCGCCACGTTAAAACGATAGAAACATCATAAAATGAGCTTTGGTAAGGAGGACGGAAAGGTATAACTTGCTAAAGTTATGTCATTGAGTAGATATAGTCTCTTGTTTGGAATCAAGAAACATAAAAATAATATCATTATTATTATTATTATTATTTTTAATTATTTAGATTATTATTATTCGATTTTTAGTGCATGCTCATTTCTTTCCGGATTGCAACCAGTGACCTAAATAGAAATGGCATCATTACATTTTCCACCGAGCATATTTTAGGAAAAAACCCAGAAAAAAATCACCTCAGATCACACATATTTTACATAAGATAAAGGCCTTCTTAATATGTAGTTGTGAGTACAATTTGTTGTTTTTTTTAAGGCAAAATTTACCAGGGAATCCCTTCAATGAATCTATTGAAACTTTTTTCCAATCAGAAGAAGGGTTCATGTCACAAATGGAATTGTTGTAAAACATGTACCCATTTTTCGGATTTTGTATTTGGTTTTTGTATTTTGGTAGATGTTTAACGTAACTGCAGGATTTCCATTTCAATAAGAAGAGACATTTTGTTTTTTAGCGGTCTCTGTTCACTATTTCCTCACGATTAACTTTGATTGTTCTGTGTGTATTGTAAAATTCCATAAAATTGGTACAGATCTTATTAATATAACAGGGTTTGGTTGGTGTTAATACCAATTTCTTTATATCTCCCTTTGTCTAAAAGTTATAATTATTTTTATTTTATTTCCTTTGATTTCTGGTATGTACACATTTCTTTTTGGGTTTTAGAGACCTAAGGTTAGAAATGGTATAATGATATTTTTTTTAAATATATTTTATATATATATCATATATATATATATATATATATATATATATATATATATATATTTACATAGATAAAGCCCTTCGTAAGGTGTGGGCTGTATTGTGTGAACAATTTTTCGTAGTTCTTTAAGGCATGGACTTCCATGAATCTCTTCAATTAGTCTACTGGAACCTTTTCCACCCAATCCGAGGGCTCCAACTACAACAGTGATTTTTGAGTGCACATTTTTGAGATTTCGATTTTCAAGGTCTTCGTATTTTGACAGCTTTTTGAAGATCTTCAAAGATACATTGCAGTCAGCAGGAACTGCCATATCAATAAGGAGGTACCATTTTTGTTTGTGGTCTTTAATAACAATATCTGGGCGATTGGCTTTGATTGTTCTGTCAGTGTGTATTGTGTAGTCCACCATAGAATTAAAACAAGTCCTATCTCTGTAACCGGGTCTGGGTGGTGTTCATACCAGTTTTTTCAGTTTCCTTCTCGTAGAAATTGCAAATGTTCCAGTGAAGATATTGGCCCACTCTGTCATGCCGGATTTTATACTCATTGGGTGCCAATATCGTGCAACCTGTTATAAGATGATCAATTGTTTTTGGATATTTATCACAGAATCTATATTTTTGGCATTTTACAATATTTTTATTTTATTAAATATTATTATTATTATTATTAGATTCTGAAACGAGATGAAACTTGTTTTTTTTTTGATTTTATCAATGGAAATTCTTTTTCAATTTTTTATAGGTTCCTTTTTGGTCGTGGGAAAACAATCTGCCAATTTATTAGACATGGATTTTATAATCGCCTGGGAGATATGCCTCAATGAGGAGGCAACCTCGTGTTTCTTGATGAAGAAAAAAGAACATCTTTATTATTATTATTATTATTATTATTATTATTATTATTATTATTATTATTCATCACAAGTCTCACGCTGCTTTATCGCTATTTCCATAGAATGTGTCCAGACGAACTACATTTCTTAGTTTCACTAATTCTAAACTTTATGTCTAAGATCTGCCATACCATGCACATTTTTTTAAGCATTTCACCGCAAGCAAGGCGGAAAGCAACTAGCACGCAAGAGGATTTGGAGCAAGAGCAAAGATGATTGATAGAGGAAAGGATGAAGAGAAAGCAACTGGAGACGTCGATTGACATTGCATTTGAATAGTTGGAGGTTATAGCCATCAAGGAAACAGGATAAAGGGAGGGAATTCCATAGGTGAGAGGTGTGAGATAAGAAGCTTTTGGAGTAGAAGAGACTGCTACATTTAACAATTTCAACAGTGAATGGGTGAGACCGCGATGCCAGCATCGTAGGACGCTTGAATTCATTACGTTCTGAGAACCAGCGAAAGCAGCTCATCAGAGCAGTTGCCATGAAAGTATTTATAAAAAAGACGGTACGTCTGTGAGAGAGCGACTGCAGACGAGATGCCAGATCAGTGCCAGTTACATTGCATATCCGTCTCTGGATCTTATCAAGAACCCCAAGACAAACAGAAGGGGCTCCAGACCATATATGGCATCAATACTCTATGCAAAGGCGAATGGTTGATGTGTAGAATTCATAGTAGTGAACTATTTTCATTCCTTCGTATGCCATTATTGAGATGTAATCTCCACTTCAATGGCTTCTTCCAACGAACCACAGCCTTGTGGCACCGACTCCCAATATGATGTTTCCCCGATCATTACCATCTTAACCTGTTCAAATCTAGAGTCAACTTTTATCTTCTCCACATATCCCAATAACATGTGTCTTTTTAATCTGTAACACACTAACTCAAGCGGCTCTTGCGCTTTGTATAGGGTGAACGTCATTGTAAAATATTGGCAAATTCTCCCCACATCGTCGTTACATTTAAAAAAAAATAATTATAGGTATTTTTGTCCGTTCCAAGACTGGTACTGGGGTATCAATTGAATGAAAAGTTTTTCTTTCGATATATGAAACTGAAAGAATGGTAGAACTGACAAAAACGATGTCTTGATCGTCAAGAAACCTGTGAAATTTATTTAACCATTAAATAAATATTTAAGTCGAAAGACTTTCATGTTGTCGATTTTTCGGTGGAGATGGTACTTGGGAGAGTGTTCGCTTATATCCGTAACCGTAAAGGATGGAATGGTTTGTGAAGAATGGCGGGAAAGAAGGAAAAAGAAAGATTAAAGAATGTGAGCCAGGAAGGAAGGAAATTACTAAAGAAAGAAAGAAAGAAAGAAAGAATGAAAGAAAGAAAGAAAGAAAGAAGGAAAGAAAGAAAGAAAGAAAGAAAGAAAGAAAGAAAGACACGAAAAATTACTGAAGAAAGAAAGACTGAATAAATAAATAAATAAAAGAAAGAAAGAAAGAAAGAAAGAAAGAAAGAAAGAAAGAAAGAAAGACACGAAAAATTACTGGAGAAAGAAAGACTGAATAAATAAAAGAAAGAAAGAAAGAAAGAAAGAAAGAAAGAAAGAAAGAAAGAAAGAGAGAGAGACACGAAAAATTACTGGAGAAACAAAGAAAGAAAGAAAGAAAGAAAGAAAGAAAAGAGAGAGGAAAAAATTACTGGAGAAAGACAGAATGAATAAATGAAAGAAAGAAAGGAAATTACTGGAAAAAGTAATAAAAAAAAAGAAAGAATGAATGAAAAGAATGAAATTAATGAAAAATTAAAAGTAAAAGAAAGAAAGAAAGAAAGAAAGAAAGAAAGAAAGACACTAAAAATTACTGGAGAAAGAAAGACTGAATAAATGAAAGAAATAAAGGAAATTACTGGAAAAAGTAAAGCAAAAGGAAAGAAATAACGGAGAGAATGAAATTGAAACAAAGAAAGAAAGAAAAGAAAGAAAATGGCAAAAAAAGAATGAAGGAAATTATTAAAGGAAGGAAGGAAATTACTAGAAAAAGTAAGAAAGAAGGAAAGAAAAAACTGAAAGAAGGCAAGAGATGAAAATTTAAAGGAAAAGAAAGAAAGAAAGAAATTACTAGGGAGAGAAATAATGAAAAAAGAATGAAAGAAATTGATGGAAAGGTAAAAGAAATAAAAAAAAGAAATAAACAAAAGCAAGAAAGAAAAGTAGAAAGGATATAAGAAGCAATCAAGGTGACTTAGATTGTACAGGTGTTAAAAAAGCTGAAGTTAATTCCTGAATGTATATGTAATTTAGAAAATCAAATTGTAGGTATCGAAACAATTATCGTTGCAAGAATGGAATCGGCATGCCGAGTTCAGATTCCAGTCGAGGCTATTCCGCTCTTTTCGAACTGATGCCCTTTTGAAGAACTGTTTTCTCTCACCAACTACAGACAAAAATAGTAGGATAGACTAAGATGTCTACACTTGATAGGGCAAGTATATCTTTTTGGAGAAGGCAACTAGAAACAACTCCATTGCCTTTCCCAAGAATAGTGAAGGAGGAGAGAAACGCGTAATGAACCTGTGTGACTGATTGAAAGAACAGCGACCTTGGGAAATAGAGCGATAAGAAAACATTTACTGAGAGGTACAAAGGAGAGGAGGAGGAGGAGGAGGAGAATAATGAGGAGGAGGAGGAGAAAAGAGGAAGATGGAGAAAAGATGAAGAAGGGGAAGGAGGAGAAAAGGAGGAGAAGGACAGAGAAAGAAGAATAAGAAAGAGGAGGAGGAAAAAACTGGAGGAGAAGAATGATAATAAGGAGAAAAAGAAGAATAAGGATGAGGAGGATGAGGAGAATAATGAGGAGAAAAAGAAGAAGAAATATGAGGATCAGGAGAAGAAAGAAGAAGAAAGATAAGGAGGAGAAGAAAGAGGAGGATAATAATAATAATAATAAGAAGAAGAAGAAGAAAAAGGAGGAGAAGAATAATGAGGAAGGAGGAGAAGAATAATGAGGAAGGAGGAGAAACGACGAAGAAGACGGAGGAGAAAATATGAAGTGGAAGGAGAAGGAGGGGGAAAAAAGAAGTAGTAGTAGGAAGAGAACAAAGGAAGAAGAATAAGAAAGAGTAGGAAGAAAAAAAGGAGGAGGGGAATCATAAGAAGAAGAAGATGATGAGGAGGAGAAGAAGAAAGAGGAGTAGAATACTACTACTACTAATAATAATAATAATAAGAAGAAGAAGAAGGAGGAGGAGAAGGAGGAGGAGAAGGAGGAGAAAAGAAGAAGAATAAGAAAGAGTAGGAAGAAAAAGAGGTGTAGGAAAATCAGAAGAAGAAGAAGAAATTTGAGAAGGAGAAGAAAGAGGAAAATAATAATAATAATAATAATAATAATAATAAGAAGAAGAAGAAGAAGAAGAAGAAGAAGAAGAAGAAGAAGAAGAAGAAGAAAGAAGAATAAAACCGAAAAGAAATTCGTTAGTCAAGTCATGCGTTCTGGAATACGTTAGGGTTGTAGGGGCATCATACATAGTGCAGCCATAGCAACCGTTTCGTGTCTATGGCAAGATAACCTGACGAAGCCCCCCCTTATATATATATGCATCCCCATTCCTAAAGACGCAATGTCAAAAAGCTATCATTATTCTATCGCTATTTCCATGGCAAATGTACGGACGACTTACTTTTCATATTTCTACCAAAAATTAACAGGGTAAATAGGTTCGCCAATCGTCCGGTTCGTGGTCTTTTGAACCTGGGCAGAGATTTATTCCTTCTTTTCCTGTTTAGGATTGGGTTTCCGGTTCCTTCTAAAGTCTTCTCATTCTCTTTCACTCTCAGCAGCACCCTTGTGTCTTAGTGACATTATCGCTTGCTTCGTATTCCTACGTTTGGATTCATTTCACACACCTTATTCCGAAAACGGGTGCCGTGGAAGGTATTAATCCGTCTACATCCAGACAGGATATTAAAAATAAAGATTAGTGGACATTAGAAAAAAATCGTGTTACCAATAAATATATTAACTAAAAATACCAACCTGCAAAACGGATTATAAAAATATTTTGACCATGAAAAATGAAAAAAAAGATTCTAAAATCGCCGTGGAAGTAAGTGTAGATGTGTAAAACTTAATTGGATCATGTAGAAGCCAAAAAAAAAAAATGATTTCTTAAGATGCGATGCTGAAGCGTTGGATTTGATGAGTTAAAAGAAAAAATATATAGATGAAAGAAAAATACAACAGACGATATTTTTCCCCTTGAGGTAAGAACGAGGTAAAAGATAGAATTTCATTATCAAATAGCAATGGAAGGGATTAAGAATCGAAGAATTAATTAAAAAGAAATGAAGCAGATTATTCCCCCCACCAAAAGAAAGAAAAATCTGGTGCCTTAATTGCGAAACTGCTAAATATTTGACAAGTGAAGAGTAAAATTCGGATATGTCTTAAAGAAGACATTCTTTCAACAGATGTTATAAAATGGCGGTACATTGGCGTACGAATCAGTTATAACAAATTTAGCCTAGGAGATGTCTGGAAATTTAACTTAGCATTATTCAGGACGAGAAAAGATAGAACACGTTCCTCAGACCAAACACAGTATTAAAGAACCTATAGACAATCTCCTCACAAATGAAGACTTGAATGAACAGAACCAAAGAAAAGAGTACTGAACTGTTATGTAATAGCAGTCCTCCAAAATGGCAGTGAATGCTGGGCAATCTCCTCACTGATGAGGAGACTTGAAGCAACAGAAACAAAGAAAAGAGTACTGAACTGCTACGTAATACCAGTCCTCCTATATGGCAGTGAATGCTGGACAATCTCCTCAAACAGGAAGAGACTTGAATGAACAGAAACAAAGAAAATAGTACTGAACTGTTACGTAATACCAGTCCTCCTATATGGCAGTGAATGCTGATCAATCTCCTCACAGATGAAAAAGACACTTGAAACAACAGAAAAAAGAATACTGAACTGTTACGTAATACCAGTCCTCCTATATGGCAGTGAATGCGGGACAATCTCCTCACAGATGAAGACATTTGAAACAGCAGAAATATGGTCCTACAGAAAGATGCTGACGATACCCTGGATCGAACACGTGTGCAACGACGAAGTTTTAGAGTCAGTGGCAAGAAAAAATACAGCTGGGATATCTGTGTCACATAATGGGGAGAAAGTATTTGGAAAATTCGATACTCAGACTGAAGGTGAGTGGAGCGGGTGAAAGTAACGCATGACCTACCTGGCGAGCTTGATTGAATGGATATCGGAGCAGGGTTTCGGAAATATGACAAACGTGAGCGCCATGATAGACAACGCCCTGAAAGGCCATGGCACATAGAAGAAGTAAACATTTCTTTTACACCCTGATTTTTTCCATAGTATATATTTAATGGTGGGGGTGCTTAATCTACTTAATGGCTAACCAATAATCACGGTGAGAACCCGCAAGTGTCTGCTTCTTTTTTGTGGTGAATTTTAAGTATAGCTCAGATGTGGCACCCAGTGAGTATCTGTTGCTTTCCGTATCGTCTCTGGATTAAAACGCACGGATGGTATTAACGAAAAAGACGATTTCTTTTCCTTACTTTTTTTTTTAAGAGAGGGCTAGGCGTGGCAGCTTAGATTCTATGAGGCAGCGGGAGGAAGGACGTCACGGGATCGCAAGTTGTTCGATGGCCTAGCGTCCTCCGCAATTGGTATAAGCCAGAAAAATATTGAATCTGAATGTGGGAAGCGTATCGTCGCTTCAGGTTTTTGCGGTCCTCTGCTGAATTTGCGCGTAATTTTTGACTTATATCCGAAACCCAGTAAAAGAAAATCCATCACTGTCAGAACACAATACCCACGAGTTATTCTCACAATTGCTGACCATTCTGGCCCTGACCTGCGCATTCGGTAACAGATGGAGCTATCAATTTTCAGTCGTAATTGATTTAGCGTGATTGACTTACTAACCATTACACTGCGTCGAAGTGCCCGCTTTCTAAGAGTGGCACACGGCCGAATATAGGGAGCATCAAGTAAAGATCAAGGTCACTACTCAGTCGGAATTGGTCCAGCTCTAACTGGAATAATAGCTGCGAAGATACTTTCTTCTGAATGCATCATAAAAATCAGAACTACTGAATTAATAAATTCTAAACAACACTGAATCAGTACCGCTTCAGTATGCACCTGACTCCTAATGCAATCCTCTAACTTTACAAGAGCCAGATCAGGCCAAGAATGGTGTGCTGTTGTCATATTTGGACGGGAACTGCCCAGACATCACACATTAGCCTTGATTGAGTCCAAAAGCGAAGCCTTTTGTGTGACGAATTATTCTCCCCGCACCAGCCCCTCTCAAACAGCAAGCTTCTTGCTGCTCTATCGCTATTTCCACAGAAAGTGCTCGGGAGAACTACGTTCCTTGGTTCCTCCAGGCCTAACCATCGCGGCTAGGACTGGCCATGCCATTTATATTGTTGTAAACCATCCACATTTCATCTGTATTCCGTCAACGAGAAATAAGTTCCACTCGAACAGATTCTTTCCACAATCCACTGCTCTGTGTAACCAACTCCCAAGAGGATACTTCCCTGATCACTTCAATCTTAATTTGTTGGGTTAACCGTTATCCGCATAAATTGCCTCTTAACGTAACCCTCGACATCGAGTATTCCCTGGGTTTTGTAAAGGGTGAACCTTACTGTAAAAGAACAAAACAATAATGTTGGATTTTGAAAGAGGCACTCAGTGAGAATCGAAGACACTACACGGTAGTAATATCAAACCAGACTAGCCTTATTAACCATCACCCCACGCTGAGTTGCCATGGGTGTTTTAAGATCATTTTGGTAAAGAGATGACATTATCCAAATGTTACCCTTTTAAAAAATGAAAACATGCGCAGAATTAGTAAAGGTAAACACCCCACTCCTTAATTTGTCTTTCTTGGTTGACATTTGGTTTCGGCAGGGGTTAGGGTTCAGGGGTCAGCTGCCCAGTCCTCGCTTTTTAGTTTTGATAGAGTCCAAAAGCTTTTTTACTCCAATGTGGCCTTGTGGGTGACGAATTATTCACCACTTCAAACTCTTTCACAGCCAGGACGTGGCGAGTCTCTCACTGCTCTACCGTTAATTCCACGGAAAGTGCCTGACGTACTACATACCTTGGTCCCGCTAGGTACAAACCTTCACGTCTAGGAGCGGCCATGCCAATTATATTGTAAAAGGACCCACATTTTCTTTATAATCCAGCGATGAGAATTAAGTTCCATTTCGGACAGCTTTGTTCGAACCACTAATTTGTGGAACAGACTCCCAACATATTTCACGATTATTTCAATCTTAATCTGTTCAAGTCTAGGGTGACCGTTATCTTTCCTCCTATACATATAAACATCCCCTTTAATTAACCCTCTACCTCGAGTGACTTTCGGGCCTTGTTCAGGTGAACTTTTCTAAAAAGAATTTTTATTGATGGCATATATATATATATATATATATATATATATATATATATATGGTTAGTGAACGAAAACATGGATTAACGTTGAAAATGCAAGGATCCTTATCTTTATAAATAAATTTTAAATTTCTGAGTCCGTTGTGATTTGGTGTAAATCTTATGACTGCATTCAACTTCTTGTTAATTTTTGTGTTTTTTTTATCGCTGTTATTGTTAAACATGCCATTTAGAAATGAATGTGGTCTTTAATGGCCCATCTTCTAGATCTTTTTGCTTTAATGCGGGTATCCTCTCAGGGTTCTATCTTGGATCTACGTTGTCCAAATTGTGATATGCTGTATGAAAGTGCTCGGGCGAACACCAAACCCTGGTTCCGCCATGTCTGACCTTCACGGCTAGGAACGGCCATGCCACTTATATTGGATCAAACCATTCACATTCCCTCAGTATTCCGTTGGTGAGAAGTTTCACTAGAGCAGATTTTTCCCGCGAACCACTTCCCTGTGAAACAGACGTCCACGATAATCTTAACCTGTTAATTGTGATATTCCTCTACTCTCCGGAAAAATTGCCTCCTAACGTAACCCTCCACCTCTTGTGGTCCCTAGGACTTGTAAAGGGTGAACGTTATTGTTAAAAAAAAAGGATAACGAAATTGAACTTAGGACAGGTTGCCCCCGTAAGATGCTTAAAAAAAGCCTTAATATTGATCAGTAAATGAGTCACCCGCTTAACAGTGTCGCCAGATCGAGACTATCAGATGCGTGCAAAAGTATGGTACCCAGGACGAAAGAATCGTCTGTACACATCCGTAGTCTCAGACCAGTGATGAAAAATAACTACAAGAGAATGAATTCTGTAAATTTTAAGGGAGATTATTCTTCGCCGATTCTATAGATTAGGGCTATGAAATCACAAAGAGTTTCAGTTAAATGTCTAAAAAGCAAGTCAATTGGAAATGTCAATTCCAACACTGGCAAGAATAGAAATAGAAAACACGTGGAAATAGAAGTGAAAAGAAGGACATAATGAAGGTGTTGATAAGTATAGATAGATAGATAGATAGATAGATAGATAGATAGATAGATAGATAGATAGAAAGAAATAAAGATAGATAGATAGATAGATAGATAGATAGATAGATAGATAGATAGATAGATAGATAGATAGATAGAAATGACCAGAGTGAAATACTAAGAGAGAAAAATAGATAGATATTAACAGAGTTAAATAATAATAATGGACTCTCCCGTCGGTTTCGACGTATGAGTATCTGACAGCTTATTGATTCAGTTATGAAAGTTTGTGCGATAATCTTAAGTGGCATTTAAGTCCCGCAAGTGATTTAGAAAGGAGGCCACATATGGAGCAAGGGTGAGGATTGTAAAATGAGATCACTGTTAGATAGGCTGACCTTTTACATCTTGCTCTCGCTTCTTGAACATGATTCCGACAAGCAGATTGAAAATTGCTGAGTCCACTAAAATAAGTTGATCTCTATTCTACCCGCTCCAAAGCTAAGCGCTCAAGGGTGTTATGTAGTATATTGACTGCTGACAAGTTGCTTTTCAGCTTGTCTTTGTATCTTAGCCATGGGCGTCCTACATTCCTGTAGCCCTGATCTAAGTGGCTGTACATTAGGATCTTGGGTATCCTGTCATCAGACATTCTCAAGACATGACAAGTTCACTGTAACTGAGACTGTATGAGAAAAGTCTCGATTCCTCCAATATTACACTTGTTAAACAAGTCTACGTTAGATGTCCTATCTTGAAGATTAACTCCACAGATTGCACGCAGACAGCTTTTAAATATACTATTTATATATGGACACACACACACACACACACACACACATATATATATATATATATATATATATATAGATTAAATATATATATATATATATATATATATATATATATAAACAGAGTAAAATATATATATATGTATATATATATATTTATATTTTTTTTATATATAGAGATAGATAGATAGATAGATAGATAGATAGATAGATAGATAGATATGAAGACATAGATAGATAGATAATGAATACAATGATATAGATAGATAGATAGATATGAATATATTGACAAAGATAAATAGATAGATAGATAGATAGATAGATAGATAGATAGATAGATAGATATGAATATATTGATGTAAATAGATAGATATGAATATACTGACATAGATAGATAGATAGATAGATAGATAGATAGATAGATAGATAGATATGAATAGACTCACATAGATAGATGGAACCCCGAATGATTTTTTCGTAATCCACTAACAAAGTCTGTATTATTTCCAAGAATGTCATCATCCATAAATAGATAGATAGATAGATAGATAATGAATAGAATGGTATAGATAAATAGATGGATAGATACGAATAGAATGATATAGAGAGATAGATATGAATAGAATGACATAGATAGATAGATAGATAGATAGATAGATAGATAGATAGATAGATAGATAGATATGAATATATTGACATAGATAGATAGATAGATATGAATAGACTGACATAGATAGATATGAATATATTGACAGATAGATAGATATGAATATATTGACATAGATAGATAGATAGATAGATAGATAGATAGATAGATAGATAGATAGATATGAATAGACTCACATAGATAGATGGAACCCCGAATGATTTTTTCGTAATCCACCAACAAAGTCTATATTATTTCCAAGAATGTCATCATCCATAAATGTTTTTTTTCCTCTTTTTGAAATAATAAAATAAGAATTTCAGGAGGCATTGAGTGAATTTTGTCTGTTATTTCTGCCATATGACTTATCAAAATCATTGACGTTGTGTCAAAATGATGGCAAATAGTCGTCGGAGCCGAAGGCGGCTGGCAAAACAATTCTGATAGGGCGGAAATCAGATTGGCGGCGAGGGTCACGTTGAGAAAACACGGACGCCGGATGTCGTATAATGAGGTGCACAATGAAGGGAAACACCGGTTGACTCTTTTCGCCAACGTCGGTGCCACAAGATGGTGGTGAAATAAAGAAGAGTTGGCAAGACCGCGATTTTCCCTGATAGATGAATGTATTTCCCGTTAATTTTCTTTGTTTCCTTCCTTCGAATGATCTGTCTTCATTCCTTATTTTAGTTAATTTGGAAATCATCTTTTTAGTTGCTGATTTTTTTTTTTTTTTTTTGATTTTTTTTCATTCATTTATTCGTTCATTCGTTCATTACTTCATTCTTATTTCTTTCTATCTTTCACTTTCAGGCATTTTCTTTTTTCGTTTCGTTGTTTGTTTGCTTTTTTATTTTCGTTTCGTTTTATTCCTTCCTTAACGGATTTGCTACCGAGTTTTGTATCACTGCGCATGCGTCGAATTTTGTATTACTTCTGATAGGCGTTATTCTCTAAGCCAATTTATTCATTGTTCCATCTTTTTGTACTTCTTCTCATTTATACCATTTCAGTTTTTTTATTATTATTTCGTTGGGATTTCATCTCCTTTCTCTAAATTCTAGTTTTTTTTTTTTTCTTCCTTTCAATATTCACCGTATTTAGTGGATTAGAAGTCACCCAGTCGTAGTAACAGATCTCCCATATCAGCAGAGCAGGTTAATAGCTTAAAAAAACGTAACCAAAGCACTTTAACTGTATCAGCAGTTATTACTGTTTTTAGAAAAGCAGGATACCTATTTTTTTTTATATACTAATATTCATTTACTACAAACCAGAAGAGCCGCTCAAGTTTGAAGGTTGCTGTTTACTGTATGGCCGTAAGAAAATGTGAGAAGTTAAGTAATTTGAACAGGTCGAGATTGTAGTGATTCTGAAAATATTAAAAATCAGGGTTTGAGTTCAAAAATTTTTTTAGTTCTCAGACAATCTGATGATATACTTAATAGCATAGATATATAGATCTTAACATATAGTAACAGATAGATAGATAGATAGATGGATAGATAGTGTATTTTCATTGCTTAATAGATAGATAGATAGTGTATTTTGATTACTTGCTAGATAGAAAGATAAAGTAGATTGAGATAGATAGATGTGAGTAGAGTGAAATAGATAGATAGATAGATAGATATGAGTAGATTGAAATAGATAGACAGATATGAGTAGATTGAAATAGATAGATAGATAGATAGATAGATATGAGTAGTTTGAAATAGATAGATATGAGTAGATTGAAATAGATAGATAGATAGATAGATAGATAGATAGCTTTTAACATATTGTAACAGATATATAATAGATTTTGCTAGGCAGATAGATAGCTATTAATATATTTTAATAGATATATAGTTCGTAACTTATATTCCCAAACAGCTAATATACAGTCAACGATGAAATTATTATCAATTTTGAATATTTTAACCAGTTCTCAAAATCTGATACCAGTATGATGCCATGATTTTTATGTTAATAAGCATTAAAAAAGAAATATATAACTAAATTTTCAGAACAATAAGTTAAATAAAACATATTTGACAGGCGCCTTATACAGTATGAAAAATAGAAAAAAAAAACAATTTTCGCAATATTAATAGTCACTAGCATGTCCTCTCATCTTTATAATTTGTTGCAAGCATTTTGTAAAGTTTTTGATGACATTTGAACAAATCTTTTCCGGGATTGCCTTCCCTTCTACAATAGTTACACCTTCTAATTTATGATAGCCTCTACTGTGATGAAACGTAATTTGTTTACAAAATAAATATTTTATTTAATATTTGTTTTAATTTTCTGTAATAATGCCTTTCAAATTATTGAGTTTAGTGGAACAATAGAGCTATAATAATAATTATAATTATTATTATTAGTAGTAGTAGTAATAGTAGTAGTAGTAGTAGTAGTATATACCGTACCTATAAACATTATTACTATTATATTATTCTGTTTTAGACCCTTCCGACTACCGCTTTTTTGGTCTCTTTCTAAGAATTTGAGGGGTGTTTCGATCATCAACGATATGGAGCTTAAAACGGTGCTTGATGATGTTTTTTGGGGGGATGGGTTAAAACCGCCCATTTGATCCCTAGACCTTTATTGAAAAAATATAAAAATTGGGATTTCTATCGTCGCGCATTAAACAGCAGATAATTGGCAGGAGGTCGTAAACAAGGAAGGGGAATACATTGTTGGATGGTTCCTCAGATAATATTTATAAATATTAAGTGTTAAAATAAATGATAAAAAACGGATTCATTTATGTAACAACTAAATGTCTTACGCATATTAGGATAGCGTCTTCTAGGATGAAACAGAAGGAAAGGGGTACGGTCAACGACGAAATTATTCGTACACACATCAATTTTAAATATTTTTATCCATTTCTCGGAATTTAATGACCGTGTCCTACCAGGTTTTTATATGTTATTAAGCACAAAAAAAAAGGAATATAAAACTCAATTTTCACAACAATACAAAAAATTTGGCAGGCAAATTAGGAAAAGACAAAATTATTCGTACAGTATGAAAAATAGAAAAAAACAAACAATTTTCACAATATAAATAGTCACTAGCATGACCTCTCATCTTTATAACTTATAATCGTTTTCTAAAGTTTTGATGAGATTTGAACAAGTCTTTTCTAGGATTTTCTAACATTCTTCAATGGTTATACGTTCTAAGTCCTGAAGGTTTTTTGGTGACTGAGGATTTATTCAAATTCTCAGTTCTAGCCATAGATTTTCAATAGGATTCATGTCAATACTAATTGAAGGCTAATCAGAACTGTAATCTTCTTTTTCTGAAGCCATGCAGTCACTGATTTAGACGTATGTTTGGGATCATTATCTTGCTGGAAAATAAATCGTCGACCTAGATGAAAATTTTGCGTTGATATTTGTTTTCATCCAGAATTTTGATAAAGTCTGCAGATTTAATTATTCCTCGTATTGCAATTAATTGCCCCGTCCCACTGGAGCTAAAACAACCCCAAAATATCATCGAACCGCCTCCATGTTTTAACGATGCCACTGTGTTCTTTGGGGGGAAAGCCTCACCTTGCGTCAAATCTTCTGTACATCATTAAGCTAATTTTTTTTTATCACTCCATTGTACTTGTTTCCAAATGCAATTTTCTTTGTCCAAGAACGTTTTGGTAAAATTAAACCGAGTAACAATGTGATATGTTTTATGGGGAGGGGTTCTTTGTGGTCGGTTTCCATACAATTCATTTCTATTTAAACAACGTTGTATTGTGCGAGTACTTACGCTGATACACATCGTATCCAAACTTTTGGCAATGTCTTTAAAAACAACTCTCCCGACACAGTTTTCGTGCAGTTCTCGGTGACAATTTGGGTTTCTTCCACACCCAGACAAATTCTCTGTCGTGCCAAACTGTTTAAACGTCTGTATAACGGGCTGTACCGTAGATCTAGGGATAGCTAACCGGTTTGAAATAGTGTTGTACTTATTTCCCAACTTGGTGAAAATTAATAATTCTCTGTCTCAAGTCCCAATCGTCTTGTTAACGTTAGAATAACAATGGTGACGCTCTATGCACCATGTGATGTTCTTTGCTGGAATTATCAAAATATTCTACTGAATGCTTCTCCGATAAAATAATTATGGAAATTACTTCCAAGTAATCAACCAATTTAAAACTATATATTCTACTGTACGAATAATTTTGTCTTTTTCGATTTTACATAATTCGCCTGTGAAATTTGTTGCATTTAACCTATTTTTCTAAAAATTGATTTTCTTAATATTTCCTTTTTTTGTGCTTATTAACATAAAAAAAACCTGACATCATACAATCTGAGAAATGTATACAAATAATCAAAATGTATGGTGTACGAATAATTTTGTCGTTGACTGTATTTTGATTGATTGATGGATAGAAAGATATATAGATATATCTTAACATATTTTAACATATATATAACATGTTTTGCTAGATAGACAGATAGATAGATCGTAACATATTTTATAGATAGATAAAGATTAACATATTTTAACAGATATATAGATTTTAACATATTTTAAAATGGAGATGATATATAACATATTCTGATATGTACATAGATATTAACATATTTTGAGAGATAGGATTTAATATAGATATTATCATATTTTAATAGATAGGACTTCATATATTTTATAGATATATAGATAGATCTTAACATACAGGGAGAGATGGATAAATTGACGCCCTTTTATATTTTAAATTTCGTGCATGTGCTTTATTTGTTTTTGATTTTACTGACTGCATTTTATAATAGGTTTTGTTGGGCACCATCTGTGAGAAAAAGATTAACATGACGCAATGGACTACACCAGAAACTGTCAAACTGTTTACACTTCTGCATAACGGACTGTACCGTAGATCTAGGGATAGCTAACCGGTTTGAAATAGTGTTGTACTTATTTCCCAACTTGTGGAAATTAATAATTATCTGTCTCAAGTCAACGCTAATTCCTTTGTTTTCCCCATCGTCTTGTTAACGTAGATATGATTTAATAAAGATATTAACATATTTTAATAGATCGAACTTCATATATTTTATAGATATATAGATAGATCTTAACATACAGGGGAGATGGATAAATTGACGCAATTTTATATTTTTAGTTCCGTGCATGTGTGTTGTATGTTTTTGATTTTGCCGGCTGCATTGTATAATAGGTTTTGTTGGGCACCATCTGTGAGAAAAAGATTAACATGACGCAATGCGCTCCATGTTAGATCTTTGACCAAACCGTTTACACTTCTGCATAACGGACTGTACTGTAGAACTAGGAATAGCTAACCGGTTTGAAAATTGAAAATGGCATGCTGTACTCCTTGGCATTCGAGCCGGAAACTCCAATACAAATATTTCAGAGTATTTGGATGTCAATCTTGGGTGTGTGCATTCGGAAAAAATTGGATGATTTTTCCAGTCAACGTCATGGCGTTTCGAGTAATGGCGAGGCTATGTCTTCATTCATGTTCCATTGTCCTCGGACTCAAATCGGAAGCCGACTGCCCGAAAATTTAGTGAGATCTCTGCCCTGTCATCAAAAGTGTGGCTACTAGAAGACTCTATGGGGTCAAACGGATATATGCACCATTCCATACAAGTAGAAGAAACCAGGATATCTGTCAGACAATTTCTGCGAACACTTCACCCCTTTCATTTCGCCACTTAAATCCTACTGACTGCACCCTTTTTTATTATTATGTGTTGGGCGCAGTTGAGAGAGAGAGAGAGATCAACAAAACTCCATGTAACACCAAAGATGAACTGGAGGCAAGTATTATGGCAGCATTCACCACTTTAAACAAGGAGACCGTCCAGCTGAGGTGCAGAAGATTCCAAAGTCGTCTCTAAGATATTGGTTGAAGGCAATGGTGATTTTATTCAATAAATTTACTTTATCGTATGTAAAGATAATTTTGTGCAATTTTGATAAATATATGTATTAAAATGAGATGCCAATGTCATTTTCGATTGTGTGTCATTTATCAATCGCATCCTATATTTTAAAAGATAGATAGATGTTAACATATTTTAATATATAGATATATAATATATTTTGATAGCGAGATCGCCACGTACTTAATATATAAATAGATAATATATTTAGATAAATATGAACAGACTCAGATAGATAGATGTCAGCAGACTGAGATAGATAGATAGATAGATAGATAGATAGATAGATATGAGTAGATTGAAATAGATAGATAGATATGAGTAGATTGAGATAGATATATAGATACTATAGAGTATGACTGTTTTGAAGCAGATACAATTTAGATAGATATATGAGTATGTTTGAAAAAGATAAAAAGCAAGAAAGATAGATAATATGGTTCTTGAAATAGTTAGATAGATAGATAATCATCGACATATATTCAAATAGATAGCTGCTAGAAATTTCTTCATAGATAGATAGATAGATAGATAGATAGATATATATATAGATTGAAATCTATAGATATAGATAATAGATATATTTTCATAGATAATAGATAGATGATGTGTCTATGTCTGTTGAAATAGATCAAATAGATATGAGTATACTGAAATAGATGATAGATAGTTAGATAAATGGATAGATATCAGTAGATTGCTTACATATAAATTAGATAGATAGATATGTTTTAGACTGAAATAGATAGATAGATAGATGAACATAGTATATTGAAAGATAGATAGCTAGCTAGCAATTAATTGTATACATAGATGATAGATAACAGATGATGATAGAGAATGAGTAGATAAAATTAGATTGATAATAGATAGATAGATAGATAGATAGATAGATGATGGTCGTAATTGAAATAGAATCTTTGGCTAGCATCATAGATAGATAGAAAATAGATAATTAGTTTAGATAATATGTGATTAGTTGGAAATAGATAGATAGATAGATAGATAGATAGATAGATAGATAGATAGATGCGAGTAGATTGAAATAGATAAACAGAACTGAATCTGAAATAGATAGATAGTTAGATAAATGGATACATATGGTTGAAGTAGATTGAAATAGATAGATAGATAGATAGATGAAACAAAGTAGACTGAAATAGATAGGATCCCCAATAGATAGATAGATAAAAATATGAGTATATTGAAATAGATACCTATTTAGATAGATAGATAGATCGTTGGGGATTTTCTTGAAATTTATAGACAATAGATAGATAGATAGATAGATAGATCGATAGATATCAGTAGATTGAAATAGATAAATTTATTGGAGTAGACTGAAATAGATAGATAGATAAATGGATGGATTTCAGTAGAGAAATAGATAGATGATAATGGATAGATAGATAGATAGATTAATCTTATAACTGAGTAGACATGAAATAGATAGATAGATATATAGATAGATAGATAGATAGATAGATAGATAGATAGATAGACAGGCAATGGGGCAGAATCAAAGTTATGTCCATGGCGGGTCCTATTTGCAACGATTAGGGCTGCAGTTCGTTCAAGGAATGCAGTTCGTCAGAACACCTGCCATAGAAATAGCGATAGAGGCGAAAGAGTTTCACAACGTTCCGTTCAAGAGAAAGCGGTTGTAGGGTGTAAAATAATTGATCGCCCACAAGGACATTTAGACGCTTTTGAACGCTATGAAGGCTGGCAATTAATAACTGGGCAGTTCCGGCCCAGATATGGCAGCAGTACGCCACTTTCTGTCTGATCTGGCTCGTGTAAAGATAAAGTATAACAGGAGGAGTCAGATACTTACTGGTGTGGTTCAGTGAACCGACCATTTCTTCAGCATCTTTAACAATATGAGTTCAAAGTTAAGGTTTTTGGGAGAGCTAAAATACCAACAGACTTTCAAGGCAATGAGCCACTTTGACAGAAGACCTATTCATCTCAATTTAAAAAAAAATATCAACTGCTACCAGCAAATCTTCTTTGTGCTGTAGTACATTTCTCTTTGTCATTAATGTGTCTCGGGTAGTTTTTTTTTTGGCCATTATTTGGTATTTCCTTTCATTTGGCGCCATATCGTAAAGTAATGGTTGACGAAACTAATCTGTTTGACAATGAGTATTTAATAGGAGGAAGGGATAATTTCTTACGCAGTAATCTTTAACGGTTTTAGTACGTGACCGAAATACAGTACACCTAAAGAATATAATAAAGATATTCGTTAAATTCTTCCCTCAAAATCTACAGAACGCACTTCCATGACAAAAATGAAGCAGTCAGGGATGAAGAGCAAAAAAACGAAAAGTTGTTCACATTGAATTTTGGTCAAATTATGACTACTTTTGCCCTCTCTCTCTCTCTCTCTCTCTGATATATATATATATATATATATATATATATATATATATATATATAGTTATTATATATATATATATAGTTATTATATATATATATATATATATATATATATATATATATATAAACGGATATATATATAGTTATCTATTTATTATTTTTTAAAACTTTGAAATGTTTTTTTAAAAATTCCTTAAATCCTCACCCATTTTGTAAGACTGTGTTAAGAGAACTGGTTCACACACACACACACACACACACACAAAAGGACAGACATGCAAATACACACACACACATGCACACACACACACACAAGGTTTTATATATATATATGAAAAAAAATATATTTAATGTGTGCTATATTAATGGGATAAAGGAAAACAATATCAGAGATTGTTTGCGTTTTAAATTATAATATAAAATGAACATTGAAGTCAACATTCAGAGGCGAATAATGCTTATATTCGTCAATAAAAGTTAAACGTCAATATATATATATATATATATATATATATATATATATATATATTAGAATAGTTCGCAAAATAATGATTTAATAATGTCGTTTTTGACAAAGTTTTTACGTTAAAAGATAACATTTTACGTCATTATTTCGGATTATAAAAACCAATATATATATATATATTATATATAAATATATATATATATATATAACTATATAAATATTATGATAATGTGATTTCATTTCTCGATATTAGCTACATCAATCCAACATTAAATTCGCGACCAAATCATTTTATGTACGCAATGACATATTATTTGTATATATGCCCAGTTCCACACTGTTCACATATTTTTATTTCGGTTTCATTGCGTGATTATGTGTGTGTATGTATGTCTCGTGCGTCAATGATAATATATATTATATATATATATATATATATATATATATATATATATATATATCTTAATAAATATATTATTTTTTATATATACAAAAACACTGGTTTTAACTGTAAATTACATCCCCGACTCCGTAGTTTCGGGTTAATGCATCAAGTTTTCAAAGGTTAATCCGTATATAAAATATTCACAAATGTAATGAATATCCATCTTTCTTTATATATATATATATATATATATATATATATATATATATATATATATATATATATATTGCATCTAAAATTGTTTTCAAGTGTATATTTTTTCAGTTGTATATTTTTTAATTTTTTTTTTATTATTTTCATTTTATTGATATCTTTAATTGTTCATATACATATATATGTATGTATCGTATTGCGTTTATATATTGTTATATTATTATTTTATTTATATAATTTGGATTATATTATGTTGTATCAATATGTAAGTTGCAAAGTAAATATTTATTAAAATGTCTACATTTAAACCTTAATTCATTTCTCTTGTTTATTAATTGAATTTAATTATTGAAATGTATTATGTAAAATTTTTCTTCTAAACACTGTCTTCATTTTCTATTAAAAATATTATATGCGGGTAAATTTTTATGATTTCCCATTTAATTTTAGTTGATATACTTTTTTCCTTTTTGAATCCATATATATATTTTGATAATGTGTTATTTGTGTATCTGCCTATTTTAAATGATATTTTATGATTATTAAATCTTTCATTAAAATGTGTTTCAATTGCACCTATATAATTTTTTTCTTCCGTCTTACTGTTACTTGATGCAGTTTCTCTTTATATTATATTATTAGTTATATATTTATTATTAAACGGAAAGTTTTTTTTATTTCGATAATTAAAATCATTATTGTTAATTTGCGGTTTTTTATCTTTGTAATTGCTAATATCTTTGTTTAATATTTTTTATTATGTATATTTATTATTTTCTCTATATTATCCGTACAACTATAACTGATTTTAATTGTATTTTTATTAATGATTTTATATAGTTTGTTATTTTTAGGGAAGTGTTTTTAAATTAATTTTAAGAAATATTTTTTCTATTTTTCTTTTCCATTATATTATATTTATTATTATTTTAATATATTATGATAACGTGGATTAAACCAAATTATACTATATTTTATTTTTGTATATATTACTCTTATGTATTTTAATTTATTCGAATAAGCACATTTTAATAGAGATGCATATTTCCGCTGGCAATTATTGTGCTTAAAGTAGTTTCAAAACGCTAGCAATGGCACAAATTCAGGTAATGAATTGACGCTGACTGTTACATAATTGAAATTTTCTTAAATATATCGGGTTATTAGTCCTTATTTTACACTTTGATTATTGTTTTTTAAAATTAGGAAAACCTCATATTAGATTTTCCTGATATATACAATTTTCTTGTCATATTTTCCCATATATATTTTCACAAATTTGTTCAAGCATTGGAATATATATATATATATATATATATATATATATATATATATATATATATATTATATATATATATATATATATATATATATATATATATATATGAAAATCCCATGTCTTAAAGGTAATACGTATATTTATGGGATTCTTGCTCAATATCAAGAGAGATATATATAAGCTTGTGTGTAATATAAAAGAAACATTAAAGTCAAAAATAAGACGACAGTCAATTTTAAATCGACGCAATCGTCAGGCCGATATTCTGTTATTTTACATATGTTTTTTATATATACGGGTTTTGGTGCATTGGAATTTAATTTTTTAATCGACGGGTCATTAGAAACATACGTTCGAAGGTTCAATAATATATATATATATATATATATATATATATATATATATATATATAAAAAAAAAACGTAATATCTCGTGTCTGATGAGTTGGTAGAACCACGAAAAATGTTGCATTTCGAACGTATATTTATTAATATATAATTTTTAGCTCTGAGGTCTGGGTCATTTAGCATATTTTTTTTTACATTTAACAAATTAAATTTTTTAAATATTTACCCGATTTTTTGTGAATCAATTTTTATCTTCATGCTGCAAAATATAGAAAATGTAAATAACTCGAAAATCATGTTCTGAATATGAAAGAAATTAAAAAAATTGAAATAATGGACGAAAGTAATTAAAAAAAGACATGGAATAAAATTATATTTGTTATAACGGAAAGCGTAGACCTGAGTCTGATCGAAGATTCAGGACACATAATAGCAGGCAATGTATTTTTTATTTTCAGTTTATATAATAATCTTTTTAAATTTTCTAATAAATTTATGCCCTTTATTTTAAAGGAACATTTTATTTCATTTTTTCAAAAAATTTTTGCTTTTCAGTTTTAAATGTCCATTTTGAATAATTTATTATAAATAAAATAAGGCATTTGTTATATTTATATCTTGAAAAGGGCAAATCAAATTTATTTTAAAACTTAAAAAAAGGCAAAAACAATGAAAAAAAGGATATTTAAT